GCTTAGGCTTCTCTCCCACTTTCCACCCAACAGATTATACCAATTTCTTTTCTTTTTGTTTCTAGAAAATAGTCATTTTCATATTGGAGATTCTATATGAATTGCCATATTTAGTGCTTGTCTGGATTAACTTATAAGTACATTATAATTTAAAGGTCAATGTAAAAGTTTAATTTTAACCACATCTATCACGTTATAATTTCAGCAACTTATACGTAAATCCAAACAAGGACTTAGTATGGCCTTCTTGGGAGATGCATTTGGTAAGCCGTGCTTGGAGAAACATGGATCAGAAAAAGAGCCATGATTTTTGGTTTAAGTTCTAATTGTAGCATCGTTCTATAAAATTAAAGTGTCTCGTATTGCCTTCTCAAAGAGCACGCCATACACTATTTAGTTCACAGATTTATTGTATGTGATGGTCATAGTGATTGATCTTCGCTTGTCCTTTGTGCAAGCAAACATACGCCTTCAACGTACTAGAAATCCTATAATCGGCGATAAATTTAGCAGTAGGCATGGGCAAAAGGGTGTTTGCTCTCAGTTGTGGCCTGATGTCGATATGCCATTTTCTGGAGTTACAGGATTGCGACCAGATCTTATTATCAATCCACATGCATTCCCTTCTAGAATGACAATTGCAATGCTTTCGGAATCAACAGCTGCTAAGGTATTACTATTAAGCATAATCATAATTCTTGCTTTATACTTTGTCCCAAGTGGTACATCCAACAAAATGTTATGTTATTTCTCCTGAAAGATGACTTATCTGATTAACTTTTTTGGATCTGGTTTTATTGTTCTTGTTTATATGCTTAATGACATCATCTCATGCTATATTTTAAGGCCTATTGACAGAAGTAAGAAAACGTGAGTCTCTCTTTTACTTCTTTGATTGTTGTGGTCTTGATGGGTGAATGCACGGTTATGAAGACTCAAAATATAGATTGCAGTTAGTTTGATATGATCGAGTGACAGTGCTTCTTCAGTCCGAACCAAGGAATTCCTTAGATATGATGCAAAACGGATTTTGTTCCATCTTTGAAATGTTAAAATCGAGTATGTGTCAATTGCAATGATATTATGATTTAATCGATCTTCTTATTGTGAGAGTTCCTTCATATAAATAGATGTAGTTTTCCTAATTACAGTAAGCCATGTATGGTATCTATACATGTAAGGAAATAAATTATGAACCTACTAAATAAAGAGAATTATAGCTAATATACAATATTTCTAGCCGCAAATCAGTGGCCTTAATATAGGCTCTACACATAACACCCCCCTCAAATTAATACTGAATAATCAAGAAGCATCCATTTGCCCACAAGGAAATGACGTTGTCTGGTCATGACTTTGGTGAAGACGTCGGCGAATTGAAGATCAGTAGAGATATGAGGAAGAGAGATAACTTGAGAGTCAATAGCCTCTCAAATGGAATGACAATCCACTTCGATATGCTTCGTAAGTTCATGATAAACTTGATTAGCAGCAATTTGAATAGCACGTGTTGTCCGAATGAAGAGGAGTAGTTTCAGATGGATATAAGCTATGTTCAGCTATTAGCCTACGAAGGCAGGTAATCTCGGAGCAGACAGCAGGCATGGCACGTTATTCAGATTCAGTCGATGATTTCGACACACGAGCTTGCTTTTTATTATTCTAGGAGATCAAAGAGTCACCAAGAAACATATACCAACCTGTAATAAAAACGACATATCAAGGCACACGTCCCAATCCTATCACTAAATGCAACAAGACGTAGAGACTAGAGAAGACCTAAAGGAAAAAAAATAATCCACGATGAGAAGTAACTCAAAGATATCGAATTATGCGACTTACAGCACTAAGTGTTATATAATTGTGTTGTTCAA